AGTAAAATTATCTTCAAAATGGGCACTTTTCTTGTTTTTTTGCAATAACTTTTTTGTTTATTAACCGATTTTATTTTAACAAGTCTCATTTTGTAGATAATTATACTCCCTATAAGCTGTCTGTGAGTCACTTTTCGCTAAAATTGATGGTTTTCCCTGCAAAGTGAAAAAACTGTTTTCCCCACTTATTTGTTTAAATAGAAAAGTTAGCTAATAAAAGTTTTTGACTCACGAGACGAGGGATGTCTTGTATTATATTCCTTTAGACAATTTTACAATAATCTAGCGGATAGGACTTTTTTCGAGTTTCTCTTTTATTTTCGCTAATTTTTCTGGTGTAATAGACTTAGCTTGTACGTATGAGAGAGAAAAATGACCCACTAATCAATGTATTTTTACTATTTTCACTCCTTCTGAAAAATAGCACTTTTGTTAGTAGTCGGCCACTCATATGTCAGTAGTCGGTCATGCCTATATCAGTTGTCGGCCCTGATTAAAAGTACAAATTTTTACCAGACCCGTACTTACCTTATTTATTTTTATATGTTATAAGGCAGGTTAGTAGGTTATAAAAAATAAATTAGGTTTGAATGAAGGAATAAAAATATACTTTCGTAAATAACAAAAATAAACTTGAAAATAATAAAATATGTACATCGGTTAGGTACCATACCTACCTACTTATAACTTTAACTCTAAAACAAAATTTTTGGTGTGGATTGCACAACCTTTGTGGGATTAAACTAAAATCCATATAATATTATTTTTATATCATATATAATATAATATAATATTATTTTTGGTGTTGATTAGGTACATAAATTGCAGTAAAAGTCTAAATCGATAACTTCTTTTAGCTAATTCTCGTTTTTTTTCTTTAATTTTCTCTTGGGCCTCCTTTTCCTTTTCTTTGTCACTGTAATATGTTCTCCACGCCTTAGCTGAAATTGCACTTGTTGGTCCTGATTTCGGTCTTTTTGACTTAAGTAGTGGTTTTGGATATGTTAAGTGTTTGTCAAATGCAGAGATGCTGGTTTTATTTGTAAGGTTTAATTCATGGTTTTTAGCTGCAGAAATGAATTCTTCATTGCTAGTTCCTTTATGTAAAATATCAACTTTTAATATCTTTATCTTGGATTCGTTGGTCGGTATTAAAATGGATTTGGTGTTTCCAGAAACTCCAACACATTCTTCATTGGTTTTTGTTGCTTCACTTTCCTTGGCCAAAATATCAAATGGTAAAATATTGGATTCGTTGGTCGGTATTAAAATGGATTTGGTGTTTTCAGATGCAGCAACACATTCTTCATTGGTTTTTGTTGCTTCACTTTCCCTGGCCAAAATATCAACTGGTAAAATATTGAGTTCGTTGGTCGGTATTAAAGTTGATTTGGAATTATCTGAATCAGTAACACATTCTTCAATGGTCATTGTTGCTTCACTTTCCTTGGCCAAAATATCAACTGGTAAAATATTGAGTTCGTTGGTCGGTATTAAAGTTGATTTGGAATTATAAGAATCAGTAACACATTTTTTAATGGCCATTGTTGATTCACTTTTCTTAGGCAAAATATTAAGTGCGTTGGTCGGCAACAAAGCGAGAAGCCCATCGTTATTGACTACATATTCCCCTATATCACAATTTTCACGTTCAGCCATAGTTTCACAAGCAGATTGATTGCGAAGTCGTAGGCTTTTCTCAAATGTTTTCAATTCCATCAATATTTTATTTACATCTTCAGCTCGTTGATCAAAGTTGGATTTTAATCTTATTAAAACTTTCTGTGCACTCTCAAAATCGGTAGGCGTTAGGTCTCTTCTTGGTCGTTTGTCATAACGTTGCCGCCGTTATTAATATTTTCGTCATTCATATTTTCTAGCGTATTCTGAATACACTTGGTATAATCCACAGCTTCCATATTATATGGGTATAAACCGCATCGCCTAAATCCATTTTTTATGTGCTCAGACATTTTTGTATTTTCTATTGCCTGTTTGAACACCGAGGCGAAATAAACTTTAGTTAGGGTTTTGTCCTCATTCTCACTTTGCCAGCTTCTGACCGCTTGTCGCCAGTACTCTTTTAGAGGCTTGAAGACTGCAACGTCCGCAGGTTGCATAATATGAGTGGCATTTGCTGGTAATGCGTACAATATGATCCCATTTTTGTCACAAAGCTGACTTAACTCGACTGACATATGGGACCGATGTCCATCGACAAAAAATAATACTGGTTTTTTAATATTTTGTTCCAAAATCGATTGGTGCAGCCCGTTCGCTACATACTCAAAAAAGACGTCCGACCGCATCCAACCGCTGTCAGTTTTACCTAATATCCAATTTTCCGGCATATTTTCTGCGATAGCTCGCGGCGGCTTGATATATGGATAAACCACGCAAGGCGGGCATAGTTTTCCGGCCGCGGAAAATGTGACAAGGACAGTTACATTATCTTTTTCGCTCCCTTTCTTCACTTCATAAAGGTTTTTATATCCCTTAGCAGCCAGGACTTTCCCTGTTTTAGGGCACAGACTAAAGCCACTTTCGTCGGCGTTGAACATTCGTGACGGATCTTCCAACACGTCAGTTGCATCTATACACTTTAAGTATATTTCCAGTTCACGGAACCACGATTGAATGAATTCTTTGGTCAGTTTGCCTCTCGACTTATCCACAGATTCTGCTGTTCTGGCCGAAACTTCTGGATGCCTTTTTAAAAACGAGAGGAACCATTTTTGTCCGGGTCTGCCATTTAGGGTTTTTAGCTTTCTGAAATAAATAATTTCGAGATAATTTCAAATTTTTAGTCGAAAAACGAAGTTGAAAGTCATTTAAAATTTCGTGGCCGACTAATGGTAAAAGCAGCATTTTATGTTTATTCCAATAGACGGCCATTTGACTAAATCTCTTTTTGTACTTTTATTACTGGTTATTTGTACGGCCGACTACTGACAGGAAGAATCAACCCGTTAAATCTTAGACGATGATACCAGAAACATCTATATATCTCAGAGAATGAGTAGGATAAGGACGAAAATAAAACGTACATAACTTTCCAATAGTCGGCCGTCGTGGCCGACCACTGGCTAGTCTATTAAAAGTGCTCGCCAGTGACCGGCACCCTTTATATTAAGGTTAATTTGAAAAAATATACTTTTTAGATCAAATATTATGATATTTAAACATATATTCTACCACCAGAACACAACAGAACACATATAACTTAAGCAAGTAAAATTTGACTTACCTTTGCATTGTCCATAGTGCAAGTTTAGACCTATTTGAAACACAACATCCAACAGAAATCACAAACAAGCTTACATTTGGCGGGATTTATCGGTCCTGAGGTTTGCTACAGTTAAACTGACATTTGACATTCGGGTTGCATAGATATGAAAGATGTTAGCTAGATTATAAAACACTGAAAATTCCAGGGAGATTCAAGTTATTTCGCAATAAAGTGGTTTCTGGCCTACTGGCGCATTCACCCTAAAAATCAATTAAACATATCCTACTATTTTTTTTTAAATATAAGTATTCAACATTAACCTCCATCAAGCGCATCGGTGTAAAAAGTTAATTGCGTCCTCAATTTTTTTTTTAATAAAAAAATCATCTCGGCTTCGGAAGGTCGTAGAAAAACATTTTTTTTTTAAATTCGTGAAAAAATGTCGGCAGTTTCTTTCTTTAAAAGTTATTTTCATAAAATAAAAATTGAAATAGTTATTTGAAAAAAACATAACTAAAAACAGTGCAACTTTTTCAGTCATTTTTTGATCCTTAAAATTAATAAAATCTTCAACATTTTTTTTAATAGCATGATAATATAACTCTTTACGAAGAAAATAAACCGAAAATCGTTACTGTAGGTCTATCCGCTGAGAAGATCTAGCCAATTTTCTTGAGCGCCTTTTTTTCAAAAAATCGATATATCGAAAAATAATTAATATTTTAAAATTTTTCAAAAATGATTCTTTTTGGCTTGCCGCGGGCTATACTTGCAGTAAATAGCAAGTATGGGAACGTAAATGTAAACGAGTTCTAGAATAATAGAAAAGAGTAGATTTTTAACGGGTTTTTCGATATATCTCGAAAAGTAACGAATCAATCGATACTTACAAAAAATCAGTCGTTAGATCTTTTTAAAGCTTTCTCATTTATAATTTTTCAATCGCTGCTATATTTTTTTAGTTATTTTAGAAAAACCGTTTTTTGCAACTGCGATTTTTTTTAACCATGTTCGCCATTTTGGATCGAGTTTAAAGAATAAGAAAATCAATTTAAAATTTAATATCCTATACGGTCATATTTTTTTTGTCCAGGTAATAATTTCTGTAAGCATTTATCTATAATGGTTGGACTAATATACCTTTGAGTAATTTTATTCAAAATAGTTTTTGTTGTGGCTCGCTTAAGCGCATACAGTTTCACATATTTCGTGAAAGCATCCACGTTGACCAATAACATTGTTACTCCTACGTGAAATAGGCAAAGGACCCATCAGGTCTAAACAAACCAATTCCCCTGGCTTTTGCACTACTATAGGGTGCATTAAACCCTGGAGATTCAGACGTCGCTTAGACGGTTTCGCTTTTTGACAAAGACTACAAGCCGCTACGTATTGCCTTATGTGCCGTTGCATTCGTGGCTAATAGAATTTCTATTTCATTCTATCATAAATTTTTTATTTACCGAAGTGACCAAGTTCCTCGTGACATGCCTTAATCAATCCTACCCGTTGACTTACTGGGACACACAACTTATAACCCGGATTGTCACTAGTTCGTCTTTTAAACAAAATACCGTTATATACAGGGTGTTTATTAATTGAATGCCGATACTTAAGGGTGTGAATCCTTGGGTCATTTTAAGAAGAAAACTTGATATCAACATATGTCCTAAACCTCTTAATTTTTGAGCTACAGGTGTTACAGTTTTAAGAAAAAATTTACTTTTTTATTATAATTTTCTTATCACTCCAGATATTTTTATGAAATTTTGTACACACCTATTAATCATTAAGGAGCATTGTTTGATGAAAAAAATGTTTTAAAATCTTTGCCAATGACGTCCGTACGAGGTTTGAACTAAACATTTTTGAAGAAAAAAAATGGTACGCTACTGCTTTTTCTAAAAACTAAAATTATTTTNCTATGCCGGCTAACAGCATGTACTCTTGTAGACTCAAGGAGTGGGCTGTGTGACTGTGGAAAACTCTCTTATCGGTAATTGTGCTAACTGGGCGCCCCTGATTTTAATATTATATGTGAAACAGACAAATTCTAATATGTACTACTAAAGAAAAACCATAAAATTTAGTGTCTAGACTATTTTATATTCGTCAAATTAACAAATGTCATATCAATGTCAAATGTCAATCAAGTATGTGGCAACAGTGTATAGCCACAACACAACTCTAATGACTAAACTGTACAAAAACGGAATGTAGCCACTTGGCTAAACTTAAACTACATACAAAAATGAAGTATTAATCGAAAATAACTACAAAACGTTTGTCAAATTAAAGTAGGAATTTCACGATTTAGACACAAACTTATAGTTAATTCACCCGCGAGAGATCTCTATAGTGGTTGTAGCACTTTTTTGTAGGCTAGCCTGATTATCGAAAATATAGTTATAACTTACAAAATGTAGATTGGAATTCGAATATCATCAGTTTCATACTCCTAGGAACTGCAAGGTACTTTTACCAAACTGATATTTTAACAGGATATAATTTAGAACTTTTTATTTGTACTTAATCACTCAGTTCTCCTGTACCAGTCGCCATCTTCCTCGCCTCTCACCAGCGTTCGCCTATTCGACTTTACCATCGACCAAACTGCGGCCATTCGCGCAACCCTTTTTAAACTTAAGCAGTATTCGCCTACTTGATTTGTCTGCGCACTACTCTGATCAATAGATGGCATTATTTAGACCATTTATTAAATAAATTACAATTAAACATTATTGAATGTGATCCTTCACGCTTTATATAGATTTTAAAATAGGGACCGTTACAAGTTCATACATATCTTGCAAATACAAATGACAGTTTTTAGTATATAAATAATATCCAGTAGAATAGAAACTGAAATCATTTTTTTAATACACTCCAGATGTAGATCCCAGTTTCCCGATCGTTCTGCTTCTATGAATAGTTTAATTAAAGTTACATTGTTAAAATATTGAATCCACAATTGAGCAGTGGGTTCATTTTGCTTTAAGTTCTCTAAACGTAATGAAAATTTTTCAAAATTGGGACTACCCCCTGTGTATATAATAATAATAATAATAATAATAATAAATGTCTATATAATACTGAAAAAAATAAAATTAACAATTAGGAATTGTGGTTGGCGCCGTTCAGCTACGCTGCTCTTCCACGTAACCAACCAAGAACAAATAAGAACAAATGTAGTGTCCATATAAACCATATAGGCGAGTACACAAATAGAACACTAGCATACATAGTGCATAAAGAACATACAAAAAGTGGAATTAATATAATAGAACGTAATATGACAAATACACATTATAAATTAAGAAGTAATAGAACGAGATGAAAATAAGAGGGTTTTGATCTGTTTTTTGAAAGAAAATACGGAGGACGCATTTTTTATGTAAGTAGGCAAGGAGTTGTAAATTTTGACAGCATT